TATTTGGTCCCATTCAGCAAAAAAATTGAAAGTACATAACTACAACAAATAATGATTAAACTAATCTTAGAAAAGAAGGGCAACTCAAATGTGAGTTTTTATTAAGCAGTAAAGGAGGAGTGCAGTAGCAATATCTAAGATAAGGAGTGTCAGAAACAGCACAATGGTCAAGAGTCTTGTGATAATGACACTTACTAGTTATCAATTTTTTTTTAAAGTTTGAGTTTTGAAGAAGGCCAATATTTAACTGAGGAAGAGGAGTTGGTTGAAGAGAAAGAATAGTAGGGACAGCTGGGTACTGGTACCTTCTTAGGAGGCTGAGATCTGAGGATTGCAGTTTGAAGCCAGCTGGGGCAGGAAAGTCCATGAGACTTTTATCCACCAGAAAACTGGAAGTGGTGCTGAGGCTCAAAGTGATAGAGCACTAGCTTTGAGCAAAAGAGCACTGGGACAGAACTCAGGCCCTGAGTTCAAGCCCTACAACTGACCCCTCCACCCCCCCAAAAAAACCCAAAAAGGAATAGCAGGGAGTAGGTACTGTGGAAGTCATAAGAATATGATGTTGGAATCTATGGAAGTCAAAGTCTGTAGAGCATGCAAGCATACTTGTGGACTCTGGTTCTTGAGGGCCCGTGGAACAATCGTGTGGAGAGGCCATGGAGATGCCAGTCAGATCTAAGCAGTCTGAGGGATGAGTGGGGGCAAAGCAAAGGGGGCTAGAAAATGCTGGGTGCCACCACACAACTCCAGTGTCATAAAATAGGAGAACATCAAAAGAGGAAATGTTGAAAATAGAGCATGTGACATGAAAATATGCTAAAATACATTCGCCATTCAGGATGAGAGACACTGAAAAGGGAGATATACTATGGGCCTCGATACAGTCCTTTAAACCCTTAAAAATGAAAATCCTTGACATATCTGTCCTTTAGGTGCTATATTATTGAAGGGACAATGGTGATTATACTCTTTTATAAAGGAAAATATATCCAAGGATTCAACAAATATTTGGCTGGAGAATTCTTTCCTTGAAAAAGTTAAGTTATAGGTTGCAAATAAATAATTAGATAATTTCCTTATGCCTCAGGACAGAAAAAGTACAATGTGCTTGTAGTTTCTAGGAGTACAAAACAGGCCAGTTTCCTATGGAACTAGGTATACGTTTCCTTTTTAAAAAAGGGAAAATGGGGGAAATATGTTTTCCAGGAATATAGGAAACCTTTCAGACCTGAGAAAGGACTCATTTGGGGTGGGAAAAGGAAGTGGATGCTGGGTGAAAATAAAGATAGTTAGGCCTGATTTCTGGAGGTCACACAATAAAAAAGAAAGAGGGAGAAATCAATATGCTTACTGTTCTAAAGACATCTGTACTCAGAGTACATCTAAGGTATTCTGTGTGTTGAGTGTATCAAATGTATTTGAGATTTTCATACTGGTCCATATTTCAATTTTGAAACATATTATTAAAAAGTTATAAATCTTTTTCTTTGAAACTTGAATAAATAGAAATAAAGCATGTCTTATTTGAGTTAACCGATCAAGATTGTACTTTGTAAACTACCTTTGCTCTATTTAGGAACAATCTCACCAATTCTAAAATACAGCACATTAATTAGAACATTCCAGGTAGTAATCATGGAACATTTTTCATGACAGATAAAGAACATAAACATTCTGAAGATCAAAATTGTATAAACAAAATGAAGAGACATTTTGTCCGTTTCCTTGGCAGTGGATGTTAGAATGGATGCAGATGGATGTGCTGTCAGTAATATTACCCTATTAATCATCTGAAGATTGGGCTCATTACCTAAGAAGCAAAACATCTTAGCATTATAACATTCTGTTTGCGCTGCTGAAGACATGTTTGGGTGTTGTTATGCACTGTCTATTCAATTGTGTGCATGGTGAGTATTTCTGCATCAGCCTCTTGATGGAAGCTTAATTTCATATTGTTTCTATTACATTGTTTTCTCTAATGAAACGATATCCTGTCTTAAAGATAAACACTCCACTCATTTTGCAAGTAATTGTAGGTTTAGGTTCTTTTGTGTTTCATGAAATTGCAAGAACAGGATTATAGAATTATCATTAAACTGGGGCACTGTGATTTTTAAAAAACAATGAATGATGTAAGGAAAATATTCATTCTTTTGGTCATTTATTCTTTCAATGTTCAAATATTGAACACTGAAAATTCAAGGACCATCAACTGTTTCTGTTCTCAGGATACTTCTAACATAGAAGTGCTGGAATATTATTAATATCTTCAGAGAGAAGTAAACATAAGACCATCAAAGGGTCAGAGGAATGAGAGGTCACAGGAATATAACTCTGTTCCACAAGTATTTCTTGGCCAGCAACTAGATGCCAGGCACTGAATATACAGAAGGGAACAAGGTACCTGAACTCATAGAACTTGCTACACACCTTAGTAAGATGGAATATAATGAAGGGAAAAAAATCCAACACTATAACTTCAGATAGCATAAAGGCCATGGAGAAAAAAAGGGACAATATTGTACCAACAACTGATAGCTGGTGAGGGGTCTGATCTTTAAGGCACAAGAGTCTCTGTGAAGTGGTGATGTGTGAGTTTTGATGATGAATAAAGATGTGAAGGACAGGCTTTCCAGACAGGGGGAAAGTCCCCGAGGCCAAACCACGCTTGTCATTTTCTGAAATAAAAAGAAAGCCATCTAAGTAGAGCACAGGAGCCAAGAGTGACAGATGTGGCCACAGAGGTGGAAAGAAAGCAGATCTTATGATACCCATACACCATAATAAAGACATTCTTCTAAGTGAGTAGAGACTGTATTTGACTTTAACCAGGGTGTGAAGTGATTTGATTTATATTTTAGAGGGGGGATTGTGGAGACACTGGGTGGAAATCCAGTTGCAGAGGTTAAGAGGGTAATCTGAACAGAGACTAGACAAGCATGAAAAGTCCAGGGTAGAAGGAAACAATAAGAAATCAATCTAAATAGTATGTCCAGGATGACAGATCAGAAGCTTTTGTGGCTGTCAGTTAGAGGTGGTAGGCTAGGACTACATTGGAAACTGCCAAGGTGGTGGGAAGGGGTTCCATTTTAACTGAGTGTTCACAATGAGGTGATAGAATACTATCTGCATTGAACTTAAAATAATGGCGCACTGTGACAAGGTGAAGTTGGTCACTGTGTGTCTGTTTATAGGCCAGGCACTGGCCCTTGGTGTTGGAGGCGCAGCATTAAGAAGCCATTGTGAATTGTGAGCAGGAAATGTTCCAAAGAAACAACATTTTAGGAAAAGATATAAAAGCAGGGAGGTGAACAGTGCATGTGTAAGTATTACTTTGAGAATTAGTTCTAAGGACATTTTGTTCTTTTGTTTTTAATGTAAAAAAAATCAGGATTAAACTCCTGTGTGTGCTCGACACTCTTTGAATTTACAAAAGTGTGAAGTTTCTATCAGCAGAACCTTGGTTGACTGTCAGTTAGCAAATTTTATCAGATAACTTTTTAGGAACAGTGCTTAATATTTTTTTTTCAGTCTGAGAAGGGGAAATTATAGCCTCCTGAGAAGGGAGAAGCAGACAGTACATAAAAAAGGTAAGGCTCAGTTATCTGTGAGTAGCTGTTAGTTCACCTGCTACCATGCCCCAAGTCTTGCTTCCCCTAATTTTCTCCCAGCTGGAAGACCTCACTCTAACTTTACTTTCTTTTAATTCCCTCTGTAAAGTGCCTCCACAATTAAATTAACCAGAATAAAATAGTCTAGTCATGGCTGTTCTCCAGTGTCTACAGAATACATTTCCAATTCCCCAGCCTGATACCAACTCACCCAACCTACTTTTTATCTTTAACTCTGATTACATCCTAGAGTTTCCAATTGCTTCAATCACATTAGATTTTCTTCCTTTTTTCTGATTACAAAAATTGTGGTGGAAATGTTGAAATGGGTGACATGGATCAAGATACATTGTATTTATAAACTGCTTTGTTAAATGGCAACTCCTTTGTATAACTAAAGATAATAGCAAAAGGAATGAAAAAATTGTGATGAAGTATACAGAGCGTAAAGATTACCATGTTAAGTGCACACTTCTGCGGCATAATGTGCATTTACATTGTTGTACAACTCTCATTGGATTTTAAATTACTAATCATGTCCCTAACGTGTCCAGCAATCGTTGCCTGAGCCCTACCTGTAATTATAGGGATCCTTTGAACTCCTGAAATGCCTGTCCTTTTCCTCTCCAATTATAATCCTACCCATCTTGAAAGACTAGTTCTTACATCCTTCTTCTTCCTTTAGGCTCCTTTAAAACTATAGCTGAAAACCCGAAGGTCAACGTTGTTGCTAGGTAACACAGCTTACAGTGAAAGTGACACCTGGCTGGCAAATTACACCTGGACTTGGGCTGATCTGTCTATGAACCATAAATACGTGGTGGGATGGGGTACTATAGACTTCTCTGAGTAATGACTCTTATAATTTGGGCAAGTTCCTTGTGAAGACCTCCGAGGCTCTATCCATGGAATTGCTACAACTGGTAGTGCTTCTTCTGGGGCTCATATGAGACTTTCAAGTCAGGAACACCCTGTACTCACTCAATATGAAGTTCACCTTTTGAGCCTCAACTGTCTCTGTACCTGTATTTGGATTCTCACAATAGAGAAGCTCTGAAACTGCCCCACTAGCCAGCAGTGTTCCCTGTGTTACGTTCTTCTAGGTCAAGTGAAGCTAGGAGTCGTCTCTTGGGTTGGAATGTGCAGAGGGCCCTGGGAAGACCCGCTGGGTCTGAATGTGCAGCGGGCCCTGGGAAGACCCGCTGGGTCTGAATGTGCAGCGGGCCCTGGGAAGACCCGCTGGATCTGAATGTGCAGCGGGCCCTGAGAAGACCTGCTCCAATGGGCTGCACCACTATTTAGGTATTTTGTACCTAAGTGTGAATACATCTTGAAGGCCTAAAACCACTGGAACCACATACAAGATTAGAACCATAAATCATTGCTTACCTTTGGAAGGAGCTGGATTGCCTGTAGAATTCTCTGTCTGTGCCCAGAATTAAGGATGCCGATTTCCAACAAATCCTGATCTTCCATAACATTGCTTCCCTGAAACAAAACCAGGAAGGTTACAAAATAAATCAAGTCTTCATACTATGGGATATAAGAATGATTTATTTAGTACAGAGTAAAAAAGCAACAAGCAATGAGTGGTCTGATTTTAATAAACAAAGGCAGAATCATCCTGTGAGGGTCTCCTATGTTACTGTTTTGAAGGAACTTGCCTCATTGCACAAATCTCTCTCATGGCTTACTATTTATGGTTGGATTATCTGCACTGGAGATTTCATTCCTCTGACTTAGAATTTTGTTCCTATAAAAATGTAAATGCTTCTAGGAAGAGTTGTCATTTAAGATTACCAGTGACTTATATATTGATGTGTGAATCAATTTGTTTTTCAGAAACTAGTCTGAAAACAGATTTTGTGAGGGGGGCTGATAGAAAAACTGACATCTCCTAGGCAGATGAAAGGTGAAAATAATTAACTTCAAAATACTGAATGCCAGATTTTTAATGAAGATTGGGAAAAGATGCAGGTTCCTGCCTATAACTGTCTTAATCCTGTCTAGTCTAGTGATAGAAATGGGTTGTTCAAAGGCAGCTAGAATGTTTCGACCAACTATGATGCTGACACTGGCTTGGTATCTGAGGATATCTGAGATGATGTATAATCTTCTTTTTGACATGTGGTTAGGACTAAAAAGAGAAAGGGTAGAGGGAAAATCATATGCAATAAACTGTAAGAAAAAATAGAGGATGCAGACATTGTGTTAGGATATGATTTGGAGATGAAAAGGGAAGCTGATGGTTCAACTTCATTCTAAGCGTCACAGATTTTAAGAAAAGACTGATACTATGAGATTGTAAGTTTAGAAAATTCTTTTTTTATTTGTGTGGCAGGCTCTTGTTTTCCTTTCCTATAAAATGACAAAATTGAGACACACAGTCTACAAGGTGTAGTGAAGCCCTGAAAATTGCACATTTCAATGATGCTTTTCTTTTTTTTTTTAATAGCATATTTATTAGATGGTACATACACATAATGTTTCAAATAAACCTTGATACTCTGGTTAAATTATCTGATGTTCTAAACCGTTCAATGATTATTTTCAACCTCTGATTATTACTTGAATACAGAGACTTTCAAATCACTTATTCTGAGAGGTTCTCCTCAAACTGAGGAGTCAAATTATATCAAGTGAAATAAGGTAGACAGAGGAAGATAATTCATATTCTCAGTTATTTAGGAGGGCACAGAAGTGGTGAGTAGAATGCTGTTCACAGGAATGGGAAGGAAGATTGAGAAAGTTTGGATAATGGATACCAAAATACAGTTAGGTGGCAGAAAATTGTCCTAATTATTCTATGTCATGGTAAGGTTATTACAACCCATGAAAATTTATTATATATTCCAAAAATTACTTCCATAGTTGGAAGATTCCCAACACACAGAAATGATAAATGTTTAAGGATATGAAATTTGCCTTGGTTTTTATAATTAAACATTGTATTCATGTATCAAATTATCCACTGTACCTATCCCACAAATAAGTAAATAGTCTACAATGTTTTACATCAATTACAATAATAAAACATAAAAATTAAGTAGTCTCTAGGAGTGCCAAAATTTTGTATCATTCTGAACAAATCAAAATCTGCCTGTTAATGTTTAACACAAAATAATTACAAATGGCAGTATAGCAGTCACAAAATACTTTGCTTATAGACAACAGTGGATACTGATAGATGCTTAGGGCAAAAGAAAATGAAGGGGAAAGGACAATTCTGGGACCATCACGATCATGAAGTGGTAGCTGTATAGTTGTTCTAGGGATGATATGGATTTAGACCAACTCAATAGTTATGGGACACAGAAAGAATGTGTACTTGAAAGCATGCAAGATATTTGACATGGAGATTGAAAACATAGGATGGTAAAGAAATACCAAATAAACCCTGGTTCCAAGCAGAGGTTGATCTGGGTGCCTTTTCCTAAGATAAAAGAAGATGAGGAGCAGGGCCAGTGTGGTACAAGGTGAGATTAATGCCTTTCCTTGGACAAAGACAGATTAGATGGATGCAAACAGTTTAATATCAGACTACATTATAAATGGAGACTTGACTATTCTTAGAAGGATGAAAGCCATTAGAAGAGTACCATAGCTGGAGATTTTAAATGGGCGTTCACTGGACAAAAGCATTCCACCTACTCATTGCATCATGCCTATGCTTAAACTACACCAGCTATCTCAGAGGAAGCAGAATGATCCAGGTATATAGCAGCATGATAATGAAAAGCCTAATGAAAAACAAATAAAGTCAGTCTTGGCAACTTGCCACAGGAAACATTGCTCTCAAGAAAATTACTCAGTGCTCATAATAGAGCATGGCTACGAATATAAATGACTTCATTTTGAGGAAGCCTATTCCTTCTAGAAATGGACTGTGATGGTATGAGCAACCGTATATGATACTTATTCTGACTTTCACTCTTTTAAGGATTTGCCAAAGGAGTTATTGACCCTCAAAACAAAAACAAAGGCAACAACAAAACCCAAACCACAAAAACCCGAACAACAACATTTTCAGGTTTTTAATGTATGAATTACTAGTCTACACTTTCAATTTGTGTGAAGCAGAGGGTCTCTTCTCTGTATAAACACAAAAGGTCCTCCCAGAGTCCTATACTTTCTTGTATCTACTATCTAAGAAATCTGAAAACCTGATATCACTGTTTGAGTACTAGGATGGTTTTAGCAATTAAATCCATAAAAACCACTTAACTTATAAACCACCCATATACTATCTTTTCTGTTTTCAAAAGGATGCATTTTAGAAGAATTATAGGGAAGCTAAGTATTTTTAAAGAAGGCATTAAGCACATAATAGCATTTTCTGTTTGGGTCATATTTCCTAGCATGCAGGATAATTATCAAACACTTTTGAAAATAAGGGAAAAGGATGGAAAGCATAATGTACATTGTAAGAATGTGCTAAAAGGCAAATGGTATTAATGGGGAAATGTGGAGAAAAGGATTTGCTGTCCTTAATGAAGCATGCTGTTAGAAATTTTTCATTTTTCTAATTACTCTGATTTGATCATTACATAAATATATATATATATACACACATATACATTATATATAATCATCACATTATATGCCATAGATATATACAATTACTGTGTCAATAAAATTATTAAAAATAAATGTTCTATTTTTTCTATTTTTATAATATATAGGGTTACGAAGAATACCCTGTTATGCTGTCTGAACAGCAGAAGTCTCAAGACCTGGGTTCAGACCATGGCTGGCTAAATTTTGCTAAGACATACATTCTTTCTAAATTTTCTTTTGGTTCTCTACCCATAAAATTAATATCTATTCACTTAAAATGAAATTTCACTCATGTATAATGTTTGATTAGTATCCGTATTTTGAACCTACATTTTAGTGTTTCAGCACTTATAATGTTAGCTTTGAGAAATAATTGTAGATAAGTACAAGACTATATCTGATTTTTTTTCTGACAAATCAATCTTGGTACTATGCATTTATAAGATTTCTTATTAAAGGAAATAATACAATAGCTTATTTTATAGCATTCTAGATTTTCAGAACAAAGTTAATAATATGACCATTTCCTTTGCACCTTCAAGTAACAGTTACACCACCAAGGACCACAAATGTTCCTATTCTTCCTAAGGAAGGGGAATTCATTCTCACATTATCCCTTGTCTTTAGAAAATGTTATCTCAGTGTCATGATTTTCCTTTAAAAGTATAAAACCTGGTTTAAACCCTCCTGCATTCATTTTGGGCTTGAGAGCTGAGCTCTATTAGGCCTGTCCTCTGTTTGCTCACCTTCTAAAGTGCCTTCCACCTCCACATCTAAGTATACCTGCTGCTTACTGCTTCATCTCCCACTTACTTAACCATCTTCCAAGACAAGGTTTTATCCACCATGAACTTTCTCAGTCTCTCTGCCAAATGTGGAGAATGACTTCTGAGTTACCAAGCCTAGGTGATGCTTTTCAAGTCTCGCTTTCTGTTACTTATTGGCCACATGTTGGTGGATGTTGGACAATGCAGAACTTCTCCACTGGAAAAGTGCTGCTCTAGAATTACAGACAGTAAAACTAGTCAAATCACGTAGATGGGACAAAAAAAATAGTTCCAAGACTCAAGAGTCGTGAATACTTCTCTCTCATGATATGGTTATTTTTATGCCTATTGGACAAAATTCATGAATATTAAGCTCAGGATCTTTAGCAAATTCTCTTCTAAATCTTCAGTCATCAAAACAAATTGGAGGTTTTTTTGTACTTTACGAGTATGAAGCTATGCTATAAAAAATGCCAAGTCCAACTGACAAATGATTATTTTCTTAGCACCCTACCAGGCACATTGCAAAGGTGTTTAGACAATGAACATTGCTTAGTTAATGACCTGCTAGAATGATCAAAGTCCCAAGGCAGTATTTTTATAACAGCTGTTCTTTTACTGACAAGAAATGACAGAGTGAGAGGATCTTTATTGCTATCTCAGGTTATGGAATGAAGAAAAAACACCTAATCTTTTATGCACTGATAGATGAAAGCTCAATTTTCTCTGGCCATGGGGAAAATAAAATGCTTGGGAGGTTTCCAGTTATGACAAACTACTAAGATGACCAAATAGAATGAAAAGCAATGTTTTATATTTAATGACCCATTAGAAATAGAATTGCTATTTATTGAAATCGTATTTCAAGAATATCTGTAGCCACAGCTCTGCCTCTCAGGACTACATCTTGAAAAGTTCTCCTAGTTTTATATCCTTAGTACTATGTTACATTTCTTTAGAAACTTTTACTTCATATTACAAATTATACAAGTGCTAGGAAAATATATCTAAGGGCCACAGGGAGCTGATTTCTTCTTAATATAAGCTCGAGTTGGTTGATGTTGTGCATTCTCTCCATTCAGTCCCAAGCTGAAAATATCAAGAGGATACTGTTGATTAGGAAGAATTGTTTTTGCTCTAAAATTAGCTCAATTCGATACTGCT